TAGGGTCAGTGGTGAGGTGAATGATGAGGAACGCTTCTGTGTCACGCCAGGCCTTTAGTAGGTTGACATGTTATATGTCAACACCTCAAAAGACTCCTGCCATCGGGCCAGTAGCCTGGTCTTTCTCATGGGTGTCGGGTGAACCCCCACTTCAGGAATGCTAGCCCACCGGCCCCGCACCTTCCACCTGAGGCCTCGTCCCCCCACCTGCTGAAGCCCCGAGGCCCTCCTGTGGGTGGAGGAGCCCCAAAACACACACGACCCCGTGGCTGGAGGAGTCCTGGCTCACCCGCCCCAGTCCGCCCCAGTCCGCCCCCCACCAGCGCCAGTGCTAGGCCAAGCCACTGGCTGGCCTCAGCACCGGGTCAGCTGGGCTCCCCGCCCCTGGAACTGCCCGACCTCCTCCTCGCACCGGCCCCAGCGCCGCTGGTGGGCCCGACCTCCTGGTTGCTGGCTGGAGCTGAGCCCCTACTGGCTTCAGGGTAGATGAGAGGGAGGGCGGGGCCTCCTGGCAGAACATGGGCATGGCGACAGCCTGGGTCAGGGGAGGCTTAGCCTGCCCTGGCCTTTGATACTCGCTGTCCATGGTCTTTGTGCTGAGCAATATCAAAAGAACTTGGTCCCCCGACTTGAACTCTCATAACCAGGCTCCACGGTTGTACATCACTGCCTGACCTTGTTGGGCCTCCTGTAGGTTCTCGCAGGTGACGGTGCCCAACTTTTTAAGCTACTTGTACAACTGAAGGACATATTAGACTAGATTTTCTGCTTGTGGTCCCTGGCTTTCCCAGGACTCCTGTAATAAATCAAGGGTGTCCTGGGGCTGTCGACCAATTGAAGGGGGAGAAACCTGTGGAGGCTTGGGGAACCTCCCAGTTAGCAAAGAGTAGTGGCAGGCAGGCAGCAACAGTCGATCCCAGTGTTAGGGGTATCTGATGACAAATTTCTTCAACCTCCCCTTGAGTCTTATTTAAATGTTCCACCAAGCTATAAGTCTGCAGATGGTAGATGGATGTTTTTATCTTGTCTATCTTCAGGTGACAGCTCATTCTGAATCCAAGCAATCTTATCCACAAAAGAATTTGAAAATGCCTCACAGCAAGAAATGCTTAACTCTGTTACTGAATGCAAATAGCCTAGATTGACCAGGTGGTTAAGCACCAGCAATAGGAATTAATGTATTCTATGGTAGAGTCAAAGACATTTTTCTTCAATTCCTCCACAGCCACAGTATAAGATTTCAAACATTCTATGCTTCTCTTAATCAGATTTAAGCAAGATTTCCATTATAGTTGTATTCCTTACTGCTTCGCTTGCCACAGGTTATCACAATATCATGAGGATCTACAAGGACGCACCTGAGATAGAGGGCATTTGGGAGCCACTTGGTATTGATGGTCAGGGACAGAAGTTCATTATAATCTCCCATCAAACCAGTGATCTGTCAGTAAGAAAGCATTCCTCTTCAGAGCCCTTTGAAACCCAACAGATTCCATTAGCTTCCAAGTCAGACAATAAAACAAGCTCTCTGCCCCAAAGGTAAGGTGCACTCCAGCCTCATCATGCAGGGGGTAAAGATCAGTTCATAGCATGAGTATAAACGCCACTATGTTTTATCTCTTCCCCAACAAAAATACCAGCACCATAGTGTAGCCAGAGGGACAGTCCCATGATTGTGACCTGGGACAGTTCTATGGATGGCATGGTAGCTAGAAGATCCTGAGCTAAACCAAGGGATTTTGCATGCATGTGGACAATGAAGCTGCTCGGAACAACTAGCATCTGTGGCTCCCTTGCCACTGACAGAGAATTCTGTCAACTAAAAGTGTACAGTGTTTTAGGACTAAGAAAGGATATTTTTCAAACATTCATAGATGGCTAACTAGATATGTGGTGCATAATTCCTTGTGATATATACACTGTACACTAGTTTTGAATAGCCAATACACCAACCACCATTATTAGTGTCTCATTTATAACTCAAGAACACTTCTCAAATCTTCAGGGAGAATAGAGACTACTCAACCCAATGAAAGTAGGCAAATGCCTCACTTCTATGTTCTAATAGTTCATTCACTTTCCAAGCCAGTAGGGACCAAGTATGTTATGGATTTCATACACTTCTATTCCGTGGAGGAAGTAAGCTTAGTAGATACAACTCTAAGACTTCTGGGGAGTTTTGGTATCTGCTTCTAGGAAGCTGAGTAGGTCTGCTTTTCTGTCAAGAGATTAGGTATCACAAAATTGGCTGCACAAACGAAAGGGTAATTAGAGAATACGGTGGCAGAGAAACTAAAATAGTGAAATCACATTTTTAAACCTATTGGGGATCTGCATTTCCCTAAAACTCTAATCTGTGACAGAGACAGAGAAAATTCCCTGAAATCATAAAATAATATGATTCTGCACTGCATATCTGGAAGCATTCAGGGTTTGACCTTGTGGTTCAGAATTTTTAGCACTCTCTATCATATTCCAGAACATAGTCGTATTATGCTGGCAGCAAGTGCTTATAATACTCTAGAGAATCTGGCTGATCTACTATAGCATACTCTACCTCAGCTAAAATAAAGAATTAAATGAAAGACCTTACAGTTCTCACATTCGGTATTCACAGCTTTCATGATATCTGGGTGTGAGGACCAGTAGTGAATGCATGAGACACATGCTGTTCATCCGTGATTATACAGGGAAACATTCTCTCCCCCCCACCTCTAATTAAAAGAAACCAGATTAAACCTCTATATGAGAGTTTGGGGTAGCAGCACTTCACTCTAAACTACAAGAGTTAGGCAGGAGGTAGAAAACTGGGACATTGCTGCATTCTCCCCAGCTTGACAAATTCTCTGAACACTGTTACGACAGTGTTTGAACACTTTCTTCTCACATGCCAAGGTGTGCCCTGACACAGTCTGAATTAAAGGAGAGCAAAAATTCATAGTCTAATAACGTTCATTAGTCCTTACCAGTCTCAGATACTCATCTCACAAACAGGAAAAGACTGGCATGCATAATAATTCAAATATCAGTAATTAACAGCCCAGATTAAAAAACGGTTTAAGATTTTCACACAAATCATATTTGTTGTCTGCAGTAAAAACCATAGTGTGTGTCTTAGCTTAAAATGGAAGTCACACCAAGGAGATGCAAAGGGAACAGACTCAGCAAATTAAGAGTAATGGCAAAGTTGCTAATGCTTTTATTAGTACCATTGACTAATTGTTTGGAACCTTATACATCAAGACTGTTAGAGTATTCTCAAAAGAAAAGGGATCCATTAACCTACCAACTCCTGAATTTATTCTTGACATTAATAAACTGCATAATCTAGGAAAAGACAGTAGCATGACTGTAAGTTTATAGAGTGTAAGCTCTTTTGGGGCAGGAACAGAGTCTGATCAGTCTGTACAGCACTTAGCACACTCTAAATGTTGTATAAATAAGACTAGTGTGTGTAAGCCAAAATGATTAGATGAAGTAAAACACTTCTGCTAGTCAGCAAAAAGATATCACAATGCAAATGCCCCAGTCCAGGCATCTCAACAGACTAGTTGTTGACTTGGAAGTTAAAGTAGATGAGTAATGGAAATCAGACCCTTGATATACGTCTCTCTCATACTATTGCAGTTAAATATGGAGCTGTAATTTTGTTTCAATCAAGAGTCCATGAAGAGTTAAATTAGCCCTTGTGTCTATATTTTGCTCACCGTGATTCTCAATACCTTTTCTGGGTGTTGTTCTCAACACAATTTGAAGCTCTGTCGAGTACACGTCTTTTCCCTGAAAAGTTATAAAAACCTCCGATGTCACAGATGGTACAAATGTTCTGGCAAAACATGCCTCTGCTCTTCAGGCTGAATCCTGCACAATACGGAGCACTTCCTGGGTAGTTCTGAGAACCCTCAACTCACAGTAAAGTCACAAGAAGTCCTCAGTACCTTGCAGGATCAGGTCTTTATTGAGTAAGCATCAGAAGTAAGCTAAAGACCCCGAACACCATAAAATTAGCAAGTAATATGGGCCCAAAATTTCACCCACTTTAAAATGACATATGTTGGGCAATATCCTCTGGATACTAAAGATTTATTTTTTATAATTTAGTCACCATGACAGTAAATATTTTTTAAATCATAAAGGTAACAAAAATGTCTGAGCTTTCTCCTCTGCTCCAGCAGCAACCACTACTAATAAATATTCTTAGAACTTTGCTGGCATAACTCATCTCATTACACATATAAGGAAGGAAAAACGCCATGCTAATTTCATATCATATACTGTACCTGGAAAAGCAATTAAATATACACAAACACTCTAAATACATATATCCGCAATGAGTGCTGATCAATCCATTATACCACTCCGTGTCATGGAAGGCAGTAGGGTCTAGTGTTAGAGCACACATCTGAGAAGCTTTGAATGACCTTGCAGAACTTTGTGCTTCAGGTTCCTTATGAGTAAAATGAGAATAACAACAGCCTATCTGTGAGGAATAATTAGTGTTTGTAAAACACTTAGAAATCCTCAGATGAAAGACACTCATATAAAATTATTAAATGTAGAAGTGTAAATGCCATAAAAGGAGTAAATAATAGATAAGACAAGTTCTCTAGTGTATAATGCACAGTCAAATTCATCAGAAAGGGTGGCTTGAGTTACAAGATTGTTTGTTACGTGACTCTTTGGGTTTGTGAACATCTACCTCTCATTGGCTGATTTCCTTCCCTGAAGTGGCAAATAAACTACCCCAGTCACATCACACGACTGATGTCTGTCTGTCTGTCTCTTGCGTTTGTATAGCGGCTTAACTGCCTTGGCTTTAGAATCTGTCCTCTGGCCATGTTCTCATTTGTGCAACGTGTCTCTGAATTTAGTTATAATTATAAGCCACGCCAGAAAAACCGTAATCTTTTCTCTCTCTCCAAATTGTGTGGCTGTTTTCTTTTGGGAATGAGACTGTTTGGTAAGATAATGTGAGGTATTAGATGAGTTTTCAAAAACAGTTTCAAAAAAGTAACTGGCATTTATTGGTATGTACCTCAATCTCCCAAGGCTCAAGTACAGAACCCTTCCTCCTGCCCCAAAAAGGACAAAATGACAGATACAGCAACAAGCTTTAAACATTGTGGGATTAATTTCCTCAGAGCAAAACTTTTTATAATAAAGATTCAACTTATCTGAGATAAATAATTTACAACAATAAAAGCTGCAATACCAGCACGTTCATGTAGAATAGCTGTAATTTTGGGGTCTAAAATGAACAACATTCTTCATATAAGGGATTCCCTGAGGTATAAATCTATCAGGCATTACAGAATATTTTAGAGCCATATACTGCCTTCACTCCGTGAGCAGACTGAAGTCACTACACAGTCCTTAGTAACTGTCGTGATGTAACTCAGTCTTTGTGTTATGAGCCCTTAAAATCAGCTGATGCAGTTGCAGTGTCCAGAAAATTCACATCAACAACTTCAAGTCATTGCTGAATTCAAGAATAACACTTCTGATCTATTTGTGACAACAGGATGAAATTATACCATCCTCCAAGTGCCCGTCAACTCTTGCTTTGTATTGCATTGTGGTTCTTGTTCACTCCATAACAAAATCACATACATTCTTTTGCAATTCTGATGCAGCAGTTGCTTAGTAAGGAACTTACTAACTTATCAGAAAGGAACTTAGAAAATGCAAAGAAAGATGACATTATACAGTCTGAGATACTAGTAACAGAAATATTCTGAAGACAATAGGACAAATACTGAAGACAAAGCTGCACAGAGCTTGGAAAGGTAATTTTTCAAGCATGGGGAATTCTTTGCTGACATTACACTACATGATCTTCAGAATTTTTCCACATGAATTAGTTAATGGACTAAAGACAATATCTTTATTACTATGGTAGTACTTTCCTGAGCTAAACAACCTGCCAAGATAAATTCAGAATTGTTGGACTTTGATCAAATATGTCCATATTTTTAAGGTGACCTGCAAATAAAAAAAAACATTTACTTCAACAATTGTGAGGAATGTACCCATTAATTAGGCTTAGGGTGTAGAAAGCACATTCACTCCTTAAACACCCCACTGAAGTCAATGAAAAGATTCCCCTGACTTCAACAAGCTTTGGATCATGCATTCAATTTTTTCCCCCTTTTCAAGAACACAAAAGTTGCTAGACACTGTTCTTCTGGTATCCCAGCATGCACTTTGCTATGATGTCACAGCTATCACAAAAAAACACTGGTACATGGTTTAGCTCCTACACCAAGGGCCTGATCCTGCTCTCATTGGAATTTGTGGCAAAACGCTTATTAATTTCAACTGAGCAATCTCAGAACCCTATATTTTAAAAAAATTATCTTACTCCATTCACCCATAGGCTATCTTAATCCTCCAGGAGAAGTACTTGGCAGCTTTGATGTCATAGCATGGTGCATGAATGGGAGCCCAGGACCCATGACTTCAAAGGACCTAAAATAAATACAACCGATAAGAATTTATTTATATGCTAAATATTACTATTCACCTGCTTGATAGGAATATTTAGTAGATATCACTAAAGCAAGAGGTATTTACATGTTGTGGTGAAAAAAGGGTTGGAACAGGCCTTTGAGGCTGCTCAGGCCGGCAGTCAATCAACAAAGGCCGGTAAGGAGCCAATCAGGACAGGGCAGAGGCAGCCAATCAGGGCTGGGCGAGGCCCTATATAAAGGCTGCCTAGCAGGAGGACACAGAGGCAGTCTCTCCCTGACTGGCAAGGAAGACAGACTAGCTCCTGAGGAAGGAGCTAGCACCTCGGACAGAGCAATGCTGGGCAGGCTCGGGGGAGCAAGAGAGAGCTCCAGCCCCATTACCTGTTAGGCTGCGGGCCCTGCTACAAAGGGTCGAGGAGGTGTACAGGGCCAAAGGGGAAGTGGCCCAGGGAAGGAAAGCGGACAGGAGGGGAATGAAGGAGGGCAGAAGGAGGCTGCCGCTAGAGGGTCCCTAGGCTGGGACCCAGAGAAACGGGTCGGCTTGGGTCCCCCCCCTTTCTCCTTATACTGCATCTGGCCACAGAAGACAGTGGCCAACTTACCCCTGAGCTAAGGGGCTAGACTGTGGGTTGCAGTTGTCTGCACTGGCTGGCTGCACTGAGGCAGTTGTGAGTCCCAAAGACTGCTGTTAACCCTCCCCCCCCGGAAAGGGGTGAGTCTGGAGTAGTGGGCATTGCCGGAAGGCAGTGTCCTGAAGAGGACGCAGCCAAGCGGAGAGCAATGCGAGTCACAGAGCAGAACGGACAGTGGACAGGACACCATGCACTGAGGGCGCTCCGCAGTGGACAGAGCTAATTCCTGGAGCAACCAGCGGGAGGCGCCAGCAGTGGTGAGTCTTGACCCCGTCACACACGGTTTTATGTGCTAGTCACATTGAAGCCCTTCCTTAACAACATTAAACAATTAATAATATTAACATTTTGCAATAACACTTTTCTAAAGACTCTATCAATGATAACCAAGTTATGATTAAGGCACTTACTATCAATGCTGATGACAAGCTACCACAGCTCTTCAAGACAGGTATCCCAGAGGTCTGTGTAACCCACACACCTTCTGGGTGTGGTGTTCTGTCCCATCTAGTGGCACTGAAACCACTTAAAGAGAGAGAGAAAAAATGAGTCTGTTCTACAGCCTTAGCTAACAGCCATTGGCTTTTGGCTCATGCACTAAGCAATAGAGCAGGATCCGGCCCGTCAGCCATTTTAAGCCGGCCTGTGACAAATCTGAGGAACTGTCACGGATTGAAGTCTTACGAGAGGAAGTTTTGGAATTAATTGATAAACTTAACATTAACAAGTCACCGGGACCAGATGGCATTCACCTAAGAGTTCTGAAAGAACTGAAATGTGAAGTTACGGAACTGTTAACTAAGGTTTGTAACCTGTCCTTTAAATTGGCTTCTGTACCCAATGACTGGAAGTTAGCTAATGTAACGCCAATATTTAAAAAGGACTCTAGAGGTGATTCTGGCAATTACAGACTGGTAAGTCTAACGTCTGTACCGGGCAAATTAGTCGAAACAATAGTTAAGAATAAAATTATCCGACACATAGAAAAACATAAACTGTTGAGCAATAGTCAACATGGTTTCTGTAAAAGGAAATCGTGTCTTACTAATCTATTAGAATTCTTTGACGGGGTCAACAAACATGTGGACAAGGGGGATCCAGTGGACATAGTGTACTTAGATTTCCAGAAAGCCTTTGACAAGGTCCCTCACCAAAGGCTCTTATGTAAATTAAGCTGCCATGGGATAAAAGGGAAGATCCTTTCATGGATTGAGAACTGGTTAAAAGACAGAGAACAAAGGGTAGGAATTAATGGTAAATTCTCAGAATGGAGAGGGGTAACTAATGGTGTTCCCCAAAGGTCAGTCCTCGGACCGATCCTATTCAACTTCTTCATAAATGATCTGGAGAAAGGGGTAAAAAGTGAGGTGGCAAAGTTTGCAGATGATACTAAACTGCTCAAGATAGTTTAAGACCAAAGCAGACTGTGAAGAACTTCAAAAAGATCTCACAAAACTAAGTGATTGGGCAACAAAATGGCAAATGAAATTTAATGTGGATAAATGTAAAGTAATGCACATTGGAAAAAATAACCCCAACTATACATACAATATGATGGGGGGCTAATTTAGCTACAACAAGTCAGGAAAAAGATCTTGGAGTCATCGTGGATAGTTCTCTGAAAATGTCCACGCAGTGTGCAGAGGCGGTCAAAAAAGCAAACAGGATGTTAGGAATCATTAAAAAGGGGATAGAGAATAAGACGGAGAATATATTATTGCCCTTATATAAATCGATGGTACGCCCTCATCTCGAATACTGCGTACAGATGTGGTCTCCTCATCTCAAAAAAGATATACTGGCACTAGAAAAGGTTCAGAAAAGGGCAACTAAAATGATTAAGGGTTTGGAACGGGTCCCATATGAGGAGAGATTAAAGAGGCTAGGACTCTTCAGCTTGGAAAAGAGGAGACTAAGGGGGGATATGATAGAGGTATATAAAATCGTGAGTGATGTTGAGAAAGTGGGTAAGGAAAAGTTATTTACTTATTCCCATAATACAAGAACTAGGGGTCATCAAAAGGCAGCAGGTTTAAAACAAATAATAGGAAGTTCTTCTTCACGCAGCGCACAGTCAACTTGTGGAACTCCTTACCTGAGGAGGTTGTGAAGGCTAGGACTATAACAGAGTTTAAAAGAGAACTGGATAAATTCATGGTGGTTAACTCCATTAATGGCTATTAGCCAGGATGGGTAAGGAATGGTGTCCCTAGCCTCTGTCTGTCAGAGGGTGGAGATGGATGGCAGGAGAGAGATCACTTAATCATTGCCTGTTAGGTTCACTCCCTCTGGGGCACCTGGCATTGGCCACTGTCGGTAGACAGGATACTGGGCTAGATGGACCTTTGGTCTGACCCAGTACAGCCTTTCTTATGTGAGCTCCTGCTGGGGAGTGGGGTCTGGGGCTTGCCCTGCTCCAGCCAGGGTGCCAAGCCCAGGGCCACATCATGCAGCTTCCGGTGCTCCAGCCGGGGCGCCGCACCACGCAGCTCCCGGAAGCTGCGGCATGGCCCAGTTCCGGGACACAGGGTCGAGGTCTGCACCACGCAGCTCCTGGAAGCAGCCTCATGGCCCCGTGGGTCGGGGGCCACTCCACGCATGGGAGCCGAAGAAGGGACATGCCACTGCTTCCAGGAGCCACTAGATTAATCGCCGCTCGGAGCCAGCATCCCTGAGCCTCACCCCATGCCCCAGCCCCCTGCCTCAGCCCTGATCCCCCTCCTGCCCTCCAAACCCCTCAGTCCCAGCCCAGAGTAACCTACTACACCCCAAACTCCTCATCCCCAACCCCACCCCAGAGCCTGCACCCCCAACCAGAGCCCTCACCCCCTCCTGCACTCCAACCCCAATTTTGTGACCATTCATGACCCGCCATACAATTTCTATTCCCCAATGTGGCCTGCAGGCCAAAAAGTTTGCCCACCCCTGCTCTAGAGGTCCCCTGTTTGATCCTGCCCGCTGATGACTGGGGTCTGTCGGTGTTACATCTGCAAGTCTGAGGGGCCCCAGTGCATATACATGTTGAGGAGGGTATCTTTCTTTTTTTTAAACCTGCCTAGTGGTCATTTTGGCAGGAAAAGGGACCATTGCAAAGAGAGAGAAACCAAGGCAGAGACAGGGTTGGAAAAAGCAAGAAGACTGAATACTAAGGGAGAAAGAGGAGAGAGGGAGAACACCTTTGCCTTGGCAGAGCTAGCACAAAGGAGTCATAGGGCAAATATAAGGCCCACACCTGGGTGAATGCCACAGAAGCACCCGGCAGCACATGGGCCATGTCAGAGATAGAACTGGTCAGGAATTTTTTGACTAAATGTTTTTTGTTAGAAATTGCTGATTCATCTAACCCAAAACCTCTCACAGAAACTTATCAATTTCAACAAAACTTGTAAAGATTTCTGAGGTTCAAGATGGAATTTCTGGTCAAAACCAGATACACCCTGGAATAGCCCAGTGACTAGGGCACTCATGAAGTAGAACAAGGACTTGAACAGGGATCTCCTACATCTTAGATGAGCACCCAAACTGGGCTATTAGCCATTTACAGATTCTCTCTCTCAGTTTCAGAAAGTCTCAGGTTCATTCTCCATCACAACAAAAATTCCAAAACCTCAATCTTTCAGGAAATTGAATCCTTGTTTTCTGGTTAGCCCGACTCAGGGGCTAGCTGGAGACAGGAGAGGGTGTGGCCAAAAATAACACTACATAATCACATCCGTTTTAATTATTTTGGAAATTTATTTCAAAATACCCATCAGCAAGTATGTCTGTAACAATACAGATACCCCTCCCAAATTCTCCCAGGAATAGAGAGTTAACACCCCCCCCCCCCCCCATAACAACCTAGTTCATTCTCTGACCCCTTGCCCCCCCAAGCCCAGCCAGGGGAGCAGACACCCACAACCCCTCCCCCCCCCGAGCCCAGCCATGGGACCCCCCCATCAATAAACCCGAATCCCCTACCCCACAGAGATCAGCTGCACCCCTGCCTCCCAGAACTAAGGTGACCAGATGTCCTGATTTTATAGGGACAGTCCCGATTTTTGGGTCTTTTTCTTATATAGGCTCCTATTACCCCCCACCCCATCCCGATTTTTCACATTTGCTGTCTGGTTACCCTACCCAGAACCCAGCTGCAGGCCCCCCATCCAGACACCCACCCCCTGCCCCTCAGAGCCCAGGGATCCAGAGGAAGAAACAGCCTGATGCTCAGTCCCAGGCTTGTGTGGAATTACCTGCGTGCTGCCGCCGCCTACTTCCCCCAGTGCGTGCTGGGAACTGCAGCTGCCAGGAATCCCTCTGGCAGTGTCTTCTATATGCGAGCTGGGCTCTGCCATGTCCAGTGGCCCCTAATGGCAGCCAGCAGCACTGCAGCCCATTTCTGTCAGGGAAAGGAAATTCTGTGCAAAAAACATTAATTTCTGCAAAATTCTGCATGGCGCAGTGGGGCAGAAGTCCCCCAGGAGTAACAAAGGGGAAAAGAAGGAGCAGGAGAGGAACAATGGAATGGTAGCAAAAGAAATGAAGTAGAGAGTCAAGTATCAAAGGGAAAGGGAGGATACACAAAATGTAGTTCTCTTCAAGGTTGTTAAAAAAGTTAAATTTTCAGTTAAAGTAAAAGACAGCAGGAGAGAAAGTATAAAAAGGAGAGATGAAGAAAAGAAAACTTTGGAGAGGAAAAATGCAGACAGAAAGAGGAAAGCAAGAAATAAAGAACTGGGACATTTAACAGGGAAGAAGACAGCAGTGGTTAGGGTTTTGAAATTTCCTGTTTTGACAACTTATTTTCTACATTTTACAACTCAATTCTAGAGATGGGAAAAGGGAAGCTATGGTAGAAAGTTACTGGCAATGAGATTTGAGTCAAAATGTTGCTGTTAGACATAATGGTAGATTAACGCCTTGTCTAAAGACAAAAATTGCACCAGTTTAACTAAAACAAATTAAAAAACTGATTATAGTTAAATTGGTGCATATTCCTTTGTTGACAATGTTATATCAGTTTACAAATGGCTTATATCAATTTAGTTTGGATTTAAGTGTATCTGCATAAATTGGCATGAGATGAAATATATTTGAAAATCAAATTTAGTTAACACAATGCAGTGTGTGTGTGTGTGTGTACGTAGACAAAGCATAATACAAGAGTTTCTTTTTTTAAATGCATGCTACTATTGCAGATAACTTTCTCTGGGAATTTCAAGTTTTACATTTTTTGTGGTTTAAATAGTGCTATACATTTTCTAAAAACAAATATCTAGTTACTTAACTGAGCTCTTCACCATGGCACAAATCCCTTTTTGCTAAATTCATTTATACAGCACATAATATTCAGCACACTAAAAAATTTTCTGCATACAAAGTGTTACATCAGTTGCTGTAGTCACCTGTAAAAGAAGTGTCTTGAAGTGTAAGATTATAAAGTTAAGACTACTAAAATCGTCTTACAGGACAAGTAGGAATTTGGGAGTCTGTTTAAAAATGATCTGCTCATCCAGGTCAAACTAGAACTGCTCTTTGACTATATAGTTTACTAGACTACAGCACCTTCTCCTACTCCAAACAGCCTAATTTGATTTTTTTTCTTTTGATTGTGATAAATTAATTAAAAATGCAAGATAGACCTGCTTGTCCACTTTCTCCAAGATGAATTTTGTTTGCCATTCTGTCACCAGTGAGCTCAATGTAAAAGATGCACTGTAGATCAGCTACAGAATGAGTTCTGATTTTACATTTTCCTGACTGTTTACAGAAATACAACTTCTGATATTCTCCAATTTTAACAACTCTGCCATGATCCCAATTGCAGCATTCATTAACTAATCCAGCCATCAGAGTACTATAACTCTACCCTTAAGGAAATGTGAAGATTTTAAAAACACACTAAAATTGAACTTTTCTCCAGGGAATGGGGGTATTTGGGTATTCCTCTGAATCCTCAGAACAGACAATTGCTCTTCTGCATGAGAAATTGTAAATGGTCATCAGGCAAAGAAAGAACCAGTTGTCCACGATCCTTAGTGCAGATCTTCCATTTGAAACAAAGAAACCCTGCAATACCCAAGGTAAGGATTTGGAAGGAGATGGAGGGAGCAGAAAGTACTATTTTTGGTGCTTAAGTAATCACAGAAGTAAATCAGTCTCTCCAATCAAGAAACACCCTCTACTGGATAATTATATATATATATATATTTTTTGTTGAGAACTGTATACTACACTGACAGAGGATAGGTATTTTCCTTTCCTAACTACTATGACCTGTGAGTCTTCCATCTCTATATTTGTTTGATCTGTTTTACTATGAAGACTAATATCCTTATTTCATGCTCCAATTTGAACGGAGCAATTCAAGTATATAGCTACAGACACACTAATGAGAGAGGTTTTTTTAATAAAAATATGCTTTTTATTACCATTGAAATTCATTGATTGAGCTCTGAGATATTCAGAGGTCCAGACTTTTGAATGGTTTGAAATAGAGTTTGAAATAGAGTAATTTATTACCAGGGATCAGAAGACACTCTACCTTGTGTCAGCATTCAAATGAATCAAGTTCTCTGGGCTTATCTACATGCAAAAATTGTACAGCTTTAACTATAATGGTATAGTTAAAGCAGTACAACCCCACTAGCGTGGCTGCAGTTAATAGAGATATCAACATGCAGCTACTGGTATTCTTATTCCCATAGGCTTAAAGGGATAAGTTATAGTAGTATAATTGTGTCCATATTAGGATTTGTATCAATTTAATGGTTTTAGTTTAAAAAAATCATATGCCTAATCAAAATAATTAAATCAATACAAGAACTGTGTAAACCAAGTTTCTGATGCTCCGTGTACTTTTCCAGGCTGATTTCGATCTATGGAATCCTTTCCTGGACTCTCCACAGCAGGGGTGGAGGTGGGGGGGAAGGAGAGGGAAAGGGGGGGATGAGATAGGAAAGATCTCCTATACCAGTGGTCTCCAACCTTTTTACGCATAAGATCACTTTTTGAATTTAAGATTAACCCAGGATCTACCCTGCCTCTTCCCCGTGGCCCCACCCCGCTCACTCCATCCCCCCTCCCTCTGTCACTCACTCTCCCCTACCCTCACTCACTTTCACAGGGTTGGGGTAGGGGAGAGGGTGCAGGCTCTGGGCTGGGGCTGAGAGGTTTGCAGTGTAGGAGGGGGCTTCGGGCTGAGCCTGGGGCACGGGGTTAGGGTGCAGGAGTGAGGGGTGCAAGCTCTGGGAAAGAGTTTGGGTGCAGGGGTCATATGGTCACACTGCACCTAATCTCATAGAATCCACTGGACATTTCATGAATTTTACTTATTAGTGTGATTTGCGGTTTATAGATCCAAAATCTTTCAGGGATCGTCACAAATCAGTGTAACATCATCAACTGTGGGGTGTGCATTGGCTGAGCCTAGGGCAGGGGTTTGGGGTGCAGGAGTGAGGGGTGCAAGCTCTGGGAGGGAATTTGGGTGCAGGAGGGAGCTCTGGGTAGGTGCAGGGGATTGGGGTACAGGAGAGGGTGAGGGGTCTGGAAGGGAGTTTGGGTGCAGGAGGGGACTCCGGGCTGAGGCAGTGGGTTTGGGTGCAAGGTGCAGGCTCCAGCCAGGAGGCGCTTACCACAGGCGGCTCCTGGGCAGTGGTGCTGCGGCCGGGCTCAGGCAGACTGCCTGCTTGCCGTGGCCCCACGCCGCTCCCGGAAGCGGCTGGCTGCTGGCATATCTCTGCAGCCCCCGGGTTGGGGGCAGAGGGCCTCCGTGCGCTGCCTGTGCCCGCAAGCGCCACCCCTGCAATTCCCGTTGCCCAGTTCCCAGCCAATGGGAGCTGCGGGGACGGTGCTGGGGGCAGTGTGCATAGCTGCCTCCTCCCTCCCATGAGCTACAGAGATGTGCCAGCAGCCAGCTGCTTCCAGGAGCGATGTGGGGCCACGGTAGGCATGCAGCCTGCCTGAGCACCACTGCACCGCTGGACTTTTAGCGGCCCGGAGATTGCGACTGACTGGCAGAGGATCCAGGATCGACCAGTCCATCGCGATCGACGGGTTGGTGACCATTTCCTATACACACCGCCATCATTCCTTTAAAGCAATATCTACTGAATCACTGCCAGGAAGTGTTGCTGCCAAAAGATTGGATCATAACTGCTAATAGCAAATCATCTCTCCAGAAGAATGGAATGAGACTGGTTCAGAAATAAAAATCAGTCCACATCAGAAAAAGATTGATGCTGGCAAACTTTTAGACACATTTGCTCTTTGCTCATGAACCAATTAAAAAAAATCCTTCACTTGAATTGCCAGTTGGTCAGTTTATTTTAATAATCTGGGAGGGAACATTGGAACAGGAGCATTCAATGTGTTTAATTTCATTTCCCTCAGACATATTATTGGCCTATTAGAACACAACTAGCAAAGTAAATTTATTATATTAAAAAGCTATTTTTTTTTAAAGTATGCATACATTTGGCAGCACTATTTTGTAGTTTTCTCAAAGTTTTCCTGGACCTTAATCTAAAATCCCCCACTCTATATAGACTTTAGAAGCAACAGCATGGCCAAGCGATAATTAAAAAAAAAATTACACAGCTTAAATTTAGAGACTTAATGGCTATTTGAAGTGGAAACTCCCCCAATTTAGGACTAATATTAAAATAGCTTTTAAAATCACTCTATTCTGGAGCAAGCCATGCATCTGAGACAAAGAGGTTAACAAACAGGTTTGATACTTAGTTATGCTACATAAAGCGTCATATAGCAAAGAGTAAAATAACTATGGCTGAGTAGCAAGATCCATGTGGGTGGGCTCCTGTGCCTGCAGGAAGGGGGTCTTTATCTATTGATATACAATATTGATTGTATATTTTTTGTGGTACTTATACAGTAGTAATTATTTGATTTGTTATACAAATTACATAAATTCTCATGCTCTGATGAGGATGGGTGTTGTGTCAAGATTTGGATGCTACTTACTATATGCTCAGCTTCTTTACTGCTACCAAGCACCACAGTAAAATAACTCAAATATTGAGGAAAAAGTAATCAAGTCCCTCTTGGACAACAATATTGCCTTCCACTTATATAACATCTTTCAGCTAAGGATCTCAAATTACCTACAAGGGAAATTATTCTTCTCTTAACAGCTGGGGAACAGAGACACAGAAGGCAAGAATTAATTTTGAACATACAACCTGAAACAGCTAGGGCCTTATTTTCAGAAGTGCTGAGTATAAATAGTAACTGAAAGGGAAGCTGCAAGTACTCATTACCTCTGAAAATCAGGCCTTTTGTGTCTCAAGTTGAATGCCCAAAATTGAGGCACCAAAACCCTGAGTGACCGTTTTGGAAAATTAAACCTAAGGGAAGGGCACATAATGAGTTAGCAGTACAAGTATTCAACAGTGCAGAAGTGCCATGCATTTTCCTGGGCAGCGCCTACTCTCACACTAGGTTTCATATAAAGAATGGAGGATCTCCCTCTGTTTCCATTTCCTTGATTAGGATCACAGCAGCAGGACTGGCTATATAGTTTGCAGCAGTACTAGCAATCCACATGCTCAAAAAGTCAGGCCCCCGATGCGTCAGGCCCCCCAAAGTTAGTGAACATTTAAAAATAGAAGTTTTCTTTTAAAATTTGCCTCCAAACTTGTTTCTGCTATAAACCTTTTTAAAATGAATACTTAACTTATCATGCAGTTATACGGCTTCAAGAAATGGGACTTTAAGAAAGACACTAAATATTGCAAGACTAGCAAGTCACGACAGCTAGTAACACTTTACAGTGTTTGGGAGGCAGATTCCCCCCAACCCAACTGGAGACAATGCACTTGCTCTTCTTCTCCCCACCCCCTCCTCAGGAGAGGATAAACATGTGACAGTGGTGTGATGGAAGGCACCCCAATACTAGGTTGAAGAGCACAGTTTGAAAGCCTATACACAATAGAACAAGGCTCCAGAGGCAGGTGAGGCTGGGGCAAAACCAGGCCTTGAGTTGCCTCCCTCTCCAATCCTGCTGCCAGATAAGATCAGGCATATCCCAGCTGCCATTTGTGGTGGAGCTAGGGATGCTGGGTATGCTACCACACCCCCTAGCTTGAAGGGGTTTCCATTATATACAGGATTTGCAGTTTGGTTCAATGGCTTTCAGCATTCCCACTATAAAACTTGTTTCAGCACCCCAGCCAACTGGAGAGAGACATGGCCTGAACATCAGCTTTTGCCTCACCCTCCCCACCTGCAGCAGAGAGGGGCAGGCAGGGCTGAGCATCAGTATAATAGGTGGGGGGGAGACAGTTCACTCTTGAGGCCAGGCCCTGACCCCAAGCAGATGGGGAAACAACTCCTGGCTGCTCTTGCCACGCTAGTGCCCACCAGTCTGCATGACCTTCACCCTACACCCAACCCCGTCCTCAGCATTCACAGTCTTACTCCCTACAGCTGGCCAGGGCAGGCCCTGGATGCCTAGGCCAGGCAGGACGAGCACAGCCAGCCCAGGCAAGGGGCCCAAAGCGAAGCCAGGCCGAGAGTACAGCTCCCAGCATTCCGCGCTCCGCTTTGCTGCGGGCCTCGGAGCGGGGCGAGCTGCGACTTCCCGCCGCGTCCCCACCCCAGAGGCACTGCACGAGCCCCCTGGCAGGAAGCCGACAGCCCTAGGATTTCCTAACCCCCAACTACCTCATTTATCTCACGTGACCGTTAAACTACGTTCCCCCCCCCCCGCCTTAATATAATTGGTGGATACAGCCGCCAATCACATTCTTCCACTTCGCACTGTCCCTTTTCCATTGGTCGCTGTTGGTAAAGCCGCCTCTTCCCCTGCCACGTCTGTTCTGATTGGCTGAGATCATTGGCCTGTCCCTGCCCCATGGAAATACCTGTCGCTCTGTGACAGGTTGCCAGGGAGGGCATGACTGAGAGCGTAAGGTGGAGATTGGTTCCTCCTCCCCCTTCACCTCCTCTATTCCCCCTCCCCTCTGCTAGCTCCGCCCTCTCTCAGATGGGCGGGGGGAAGAGACTCCCATTCATTTATCCTCGCACCTCTTCTGAATCGCCTGCGGCTTTAGGCCTTGGTAGTCTCATGCCCCAGCCTCGCCCCACTGTCTCCCACGTCATCTCCCCGTACGGTTTCCTCTTGGCTCGCGCGCGGCCCTCCCCCGTCTCCCACTTCTCTGCCTCCCACCCACTCGTGCGCAGCCTCTCTGCCTCCCTCGCGCCCCACCCCGCCCCCCGCCGGCTCCTCCTTCCCCCTCCGCCCGCCTCCTCTCTCAGCCTGTGGCCCCTCCTTCTCGCTCCTCCTTGCCCCTCAGCTCGCGCGCGCTGTCCCGGTCGCGCTCTCTGCCTCGCGCCGCACTGGGATGTTGACGGCTGCGTCGGGAGGCAGATCCCGGCTCGGCGAGGCGGCGGCCGGGGGAAGCCAGTGAGGCAGCCACAGCCCCCGCCGTAGCGCTCAGAGAGCGGGCGGACCCTCCCTCCTTCCTCCCGCCCGTGCGCTAGGCGGAGAGACTGCGAGGAGCCCGGGGTACAACATGGCGGAGCACTCGGCCCCCGACCACAGGCACAAACCCGCCAACTCCGCCGGCTCCTTGGCGCTGGGGAATAGCCGGCCCGGGACGGGCAGCGGCTCCTCCGCGGCGGCTGCCGGCGGCCCCCCGGCGGGTGGAGGCGGCCTGTCGGGGGGCCTGTCGCAGCCGGCGGGCTGGCAGTCGCTGCTCTCCTTCACCATCCTCTTCCTGGCCTGGCTGGCCGGCTTCAGCTCCCGGCTCTTCGCCGTCATCCGCTTCGAGAGCATCATCCACGAGTTCGACCCCTGGTGAGTCGTCGCCGCCGCCGCCGCCCTGGGGTAGGGGGTAGTGGGGAGGGCGGGGGCAAGGGGTCGGGGCTGGTCCCTGCGCTGCCCCTGGGCTGGGCGATGAACGCGCCACCCCCCCGAGCTCCGGAGGCGGAGCGCTGCCCCCGGTGAACGGCCCAATCCGGCCGGGCACCGGCCTGCGGGGCCGCTCGCCCACTTCGCCAAGTTGAGCTGCGCCTGTTCCTCCCACTGCTGGCGGGTGGGAGCCGCGAGAGGACGTGGTGCGGCTGGGCTAGGAGCGAAGGGGCATCAGGTATTGGGACACGCGAGGCGAAGGGGGCCGTGGGCCGAGCGAGGAGGCGCAGGCAGGCGTCGGGCTGGGAGGCAGCGTGAGCGGGACCCGAAGGTAGGGCACAGAAGCGGTAATACGCAGCCAATGTGTGTGGGCTTTGCGGAGCATGGTTAATCGGTGTGATCGGAAGAAAGGTGTTAAAATGAAGCAGCCTTATTGCTTTGCCTATCTCCTTCCTGTGTGCCCCCTTTGAGTTGAATCTTGCATGCTGCAGCTAGGAGTGTTGGTACAAAATACAGGTTTTGTGGCAAGGGAGGTATCGGGAAAGTTGTGGCAACAGCAGGCAGGTGGGCTGCAGAGTTACATTGGAGAAATTGAAATCAGTATGTGCTTTTTTAAATGAAGATGAACCAAAGAATTTCATATAAAGTCCTTCTGTCACATTGTTGTCTCCAGATGTGCAGTAGCACTTCATAGTATTCTTTCACTGGATTCCTTTTTGACCAGGGCCAGGGAGGGAGGAGGGTAAGGAATGCACCTCAGGAAGTAAATCTTCATAAAAGTGACTGGTGGGATTACAATAAAACGGGTGACACTGATTTACTGCCAGATATTTCAAAGTGCCCAGGTTTTTTTTTTTAACCTAAGGTTTCTTACTGTTTCTCAAATATCATTATATACAAATGAAAACAATCTTTAGAAAATAAACTGGATTCTTGTAGTTGGAGGGAATGGAACCATGTTATGCAAAAGATCAAGAAATGCTGCACTAATTTCTGTTCTAGTCCTTGCAGCAAGGTTTGTGGCTCAGAGGAATACAGCAGGAGTGTGGGGAAATTTTTTGGAGAGTATGGCATTGAAATATTGTATCTTGTGTTAGTTGAGACCATTCTAGGAAGGTGCCCCGTATTTAGATCCTTAAGTAAGATATTTTTGCATTATTCATTTGATTTTCTTATTTTTTTTTTAAACAAGCCAAAATTTTAGGTCTGAGGTCTCTTATGGTTGATCATTTTGAGGGAAGGGCATGCTCTATGTTTTGAAATACTGAGTACACATTTTATTGGTTTTATAAAATCTAGAAAAAATGTAATGTTTTACTAAATAGATATTGTACATTTCAATTTGCACACTTGAATATTCAGTTTAGGTGCAACTTTTATTTAGTTTGCAAATTATGGTATTTGAGGGCAGAGGTAGTGTCCAGAGAAGTAAAGAACACGATGAAGGCTTTGTTCTTAAGCATTGTGTTAAATCCCTTTAATGCAAATTCTGTACTGAAAAAGCAAAAGTAAAGGATACTTAGTTCAAGCATTGGCCCATTATAAGAGTGTTTTATTGTGTAAATGTAAATAAGTGAAATTGAAATGCAAATCTAAATTAATATAAATTAGAGATTAAGGGATTATTAACTTTGGTGCATACTTTAGGAATTGTCGCCTATATAATTTTTTTAATGCTTTTCTGTTCTAAATGTAGGTAAAGGGATTTACACTTTGAAATAGTTTCCAACTGCAATAGTTTTCGCAGTCAGGAAGTTTTTCCTGGTATAGGTCTAAATTCTCCCCTAATTGCTTCCCGTTATTCTTTTTTATCAAGGTTCATTCTCCTCAGATGAATGGGAATTGTGCTGTCGTGAGTTAGGTGATGTAGTATCAAATTAAAAAAAAAAAGGGGGGAGATAAAACAAAAATTAAATTTCTAGCTCTTATGGCAGCAAAGGTAACGTTCTACTTGTAAACAGCATGTTAGATGCAGTCATCTTCCTGACTACAAACAGACAGCTTCGGTCTATCTGCTGCTGCATGTAGCTTTGTCAATCATCTGTAGAATAAAGTTAACAAAACCCAGTGGTTATTCTGCAAGTCTTGGAGCAGCAGTGAAAATGTCAAGAATCATGTCAATGTTATGATGCTACATGCCAGAAGTGTAGCAGTAGGCAGTAGAGCTATTTAGTGGGGAAGAGAACCTAAACTGTGCAAGATCTGGAAGAAAGATGGAGTAGAGGAGACCCTTCTACATTGCAGCTGTCTTAGTGCAAGGAGACAGGAGGAGGAGACAGAGCTGCTCCTCCATTTGAGCAGTTAGATAGGAGTAGAATTGCAAATTTATAACACTCCTACAAGTCAAAGTCCAGTTAGAAAGAATCCATAAGCAGAGTCCAGGAACCACGCCCAGGTAAAAATCTCAGTACCTGCCTCCTTCCTAGGGTATGTCTACACTGGCAGAGTTACATCACTGTCAGTTACATCGCAGCTCAGAGAGCGCTGAAGGGAAACCACTGTTGTGTGTTCACACTGTCAGCTGCCTGTGCAACAGCATGTTCACACTTGCGGCACTTGCATCAGTATTCGGAGTGATGCACTCTGGGCAGCTATCCCACAGAGCATCTCTTCCTCTTCTGCTGCTAAGAGTTGTGGGAAGGAGGAGGGGGTTGCGGGGCATCCTGGGTTCTGTCCCAGTGGCCCATGATGCATTGCTTCGCATCCCAGCAATCTCTGTGCTTCCATCCGCATTTGGTGCCGTCTTTCAACCGTTTGTGTACTGCGTGCTCTGCCTCTTCGGTGTGCAGGAATGGATCCCGCACTGTCGACCAATATGCTGCTCACTCTCAGTAACATGTCACGAGTAGCAGTGTAGTTTTTCCTTAAACTACAAAGGCAAGAGGAGTGTGACATTGATCTCGCCACGCATAGTAGCTACGACACAAGATTGCTTGTGGCATTCACGGAGGTGCTGACCATAGTGGAACGCGGCTTTTGAGCTCGGGAAACAAGCGCTCAGTGGTGGGATCACATCATGATGCATGTCTGGGATGACAAGCAGTGGCTGCAGAACTTTCAGATGAGGAAAGCCACATTCATGGGACTGTGTGATGAGCTCACCCCAGCCCTGCGGCTCAAGGACACGAGAATGAGAGCTAACTTGTCGTTGGAGAAGCATGTGGCGATTGCACTGTGGAAGCTGGCTACTCCAGACTGCTGCCGATTGGTCGCTAACCAGTTCGGAGTGGGAAAGTCGACTGTTGGGTTGACGGAAGTGTGCAGGGCCATTAATCGCATTCTGCTCTGAAAGACCGTGACTCTGGGCAATGTGGATGGCTTGCATAAATGAGCTTCCCTAACTGCAGAGGGGCGATAGATGGCACGCATATTCCAATTCTGGCACAAGACCACCTAGCCACCGAGTACATTAATTGGAAGGGGTATTTCTCTATGGTTCTCCAGGCGCTTGTGAATTACTGTGGGCGTTTCATGGACATTAATGCAGGCTGGTCCAGAAAGGTGCATGACGCATGCATCTTTCGGAACACTGGCCTGTTCAGGAAGCTGCAAGCAGAGATTTTTTTTCCCGGACCAGAAGATCACTGTAGGGGAAGTCGAAATGCCCATTGTGATCCTGGGAGACCCTGTCTACTCCTTAACGCCGTGGCTTATGAAGCCATACACGGGGAACCTTGACAGCTGCAAGGAGCGGTTCAACAACAGGCTGAGCAAGTGCAGCATGACTGTTGAGTGTGATTTTGGCCGTTTAAAGGCCCGCTGGCGCTGCCTATATGGGAGGCTGGACCTGGCAGATGACAATATTCCTATGCTTATAGCTGCGTGCTGTACGCTCCATAATATTTGGGAAGGGAAGAGTGAAAGCTTCACTCAGGGCTGGACCACTGAGGCTCAGCGCCTGGAGGCTGAATTTGAACAGCCAGAGCCCGAGCTATTAGAGGTGCGCAGCGCAGGGCCATAAGGATCAGGGATGCCTTGAGGCAGCAATTTGAATCTGAAAGCTACTAATATTTGTTGCTATGCTCGGGAGTGCGGTGCTTGTAATGCTCGGAGGTGATCGTGATTGGTGCAGACTATGCACTGTGAAGGTTTTAGAAAATTGCCTGTTGTTTTGCAGGGCTCTGTTTGCTTTCAATTAATGGAATAAAGATTGCTTTCAAACCAAAACAATTCTTTTATTAAAAAATTGCAACAAGAGGAGAGAGACAAACACACGCATCAGCACTGTGGGGGATGGGGGAAGGGAGGGTCCAAGGAGGAGGTGGGGTCCTGGGATGGTTAAAGATTTGTGTATGTCCAGGTGTCATATGCAGCCTTGTCCTTTGGAGTACAGTGCAGTGGGTACTGTACTTCAGCGGGGCTAAACTGCAGAGGGATGGGTGTTGAGTGCAGTGGGTACCGGGAGTCTGCAGGGCTGGACTGTGATGGGGCAGGAGTGGAATGCAATGGGTACAGACTGGAACCAGGAGGTTGATAAGAGTGTGTTGGTGGTGTCTGGGGGTGCATGAGAGAGAGTTTTGCGTCAGCGGCTGCAGGGGAGGTGCGGCGAGGTGCGGAGCTGCTCGGTTTGCAGTGCTAGTAGCACCTGCAGCGTGTCTGCTTGTGCTACTAGCACTGCAAACCATAACATTTAAGAGCTGCTTTGTTCTGGTGCGCCGCTTTCTCCTTTCAGTCCCTCTTCTCGCTGTCCCGCCACTCCTTCAATTCTTGTTTTTTCGGCTGTGGAGTGCATTATGAAATCATTCAGAAAGTCCTCTTTAGTTCTTCGTGGCCGCTTTCTAATTCTGCGCAGCTGTTCAGCCGGCGATGAAAAAGAGGGAGGCTGGGCTCTGAAGGTTATATCTGTAAAGCCAAAATACAACATTTTACAGAAGCAATATTGTTTGCAACACACAGACCACTGATTCAGTGATTTAAAACACAGCCACTCTTCACATACCTGTCAC